GTATTAGCAAGTTAGCCCATAGGCTTGCTATTATTGAGGCTGAGAACCGTAAGCTTCGTACGGGGATAGAGGTACTAAGTAAGCGCCGGAGGGCAAAAAAGACCCGGCTACGTCTTGGAGGGTCACTTAATAGTGCTGAAGCAGAGGCACTACAAGTAGAGAAGGGTGGTGTTAATGCTGGAGGAGAGAATAACCCTCAGAAGGAGGGTCGTACGGAAGGTGCTGAACCACGCGCGCGACGATGTGGTAATTGCGGGAAGCCTGGACATAACGCACGAACCTGTGAAGTGGTTTGGGATAGTAATGAGGAAGAGGGTGATATATAGTTTTAATTGATTTCGTACGTTGTGGCTAAGTTAACTTATACATAAGGTAGAAAGGTTTGAGAGAGTGCGTCGCTCGCTATGATGCGTCGCTCGCTATGCAGGTACGTTACCTATATCTAGTTTTATGAATCTCAAACAGGCCAACTTTATCTATTTATAACGTGTAGCTGCTTTTTATATATTGTAGACTACCTAAGTACCTGAAGTACTTAAGCGACGTGGTCGTAAAGGCTAATACTCGTCCCCTTCACTAAATAGCATATCCTATTCAGATCGTCGCCTCCGAATACTAGGCTGTAACGGCCGACCATTAGCATGATCTCCTGTAGTCTTCCCTCTACCAAGAGTACTGGACTGGCTCCTTGTTCGCCGCTGGGACGAAGTTGGAGCCTGGCTTTGACTTGGCTGGCTGGTCTTCTGCGTAAGCCTCGCTATTGTTGATATATTCCGGCTTCCTGCTGGGCGACCTCGCTTACGACCAGCCAAGTCTTGGCTAGTACGGACTCTGCTAGCTTGACCAGCTGGCTGGCTTCCCTGAGGTATAGCTAGCTGTAATGGAATAGGCTGTACTACGTTCTTTGGCCTGCTACGTAGAGAAGTCGCTATCTTTGGGTCAAGGATCCGACGATACGGATCAGAGGAAGATGTTTCTCGAAGCCGCTAACGGGGGTGAACCTCCTATTTATTGAAAGTTGCTGAATTAGCTATCTTTGAATAGATCTTGTGATAGCACGGAATACTAAGCTTAACCGAGATAAAGTAGTTATTGCCATAGTCCCTAAGGGGGGTGGGAATGGCCTTTTACCGGAAGGCATCGCCTTTTGTGCAAGCCGGTACTGCTTCCTAATCAATGCCAGACATGTTGAGGAAAGCATTGTCCGGAGTTCACCAAGGTACTCTGAGCGAACACCTATATACTCTCGGCCTGTCAGTACCTTATCCTCTGTATAAGCCTGTCTAAAGCGTAGCTCCTGATCACTGATCATGTCTTGTATGACGTCGATAAGCCGATATAAGTGACTAAGACCATTTAGAAGGTAGCCCTTAATGTTGTTATTGCTTGACTCTGTACTAGAAGTGAAGCGAATACCAAAGTTCTGGTACTTCCGAATAAAGCAACGGGACCATTGCGCCCTTATAGGTAAGTACGTAGTATAGAGGTACTGTAGAATTAGGCGCTGGTTATTAAATTCTTTATAGAGCGTTGTCCAGGCCTTCTGAAAACAATCCTCCGTCTCTGAAAAAACAACATATTTCCATATTATTAGGACCCTGCGATAGGTATGGGGAATAGCTTCATCTATAGGCGTATTGATATAGGCGCGATCTTCGTTGCTAAGCTCGGCTATTACTTGCATAGTTGGCTAATTATCCTCATCTTTAGACCTATTACTATCATTACTGTAACTAGGGTCCTTGATCCACTTCTGTTTAGCCTTTAGCATGACGTTGGAGTTGATATGGTGGATGCAGAGTTGTTGCTGGACTTCGGGAAACTGCTCATTGAGTGCAGCTTTTATCTGCTTATCGTAGTCGGTAATGATGACGGAAGGCTGGCGATTCAAGTGTTGCTCGACTAGTTGACGGATGCTTGCTGAGAGGAACTGAAACCCTTCTAGTCTCACGTTGTTAATAAGACCGAATGTTGCGTTATAGATAGACCCAAGGCAGGTCTGCCCAGTCGCCTGGAACAGTGGGAGCTTAAAGCGATTGGTGTTATATGTGTTGTTAAAGCTGATCACCTCAGGGAACCGCTTCTATATTTGGAGATAGTAGGGAAACGTCCAAATAAGCTGTCACGAGTTATGGCACGCAGCAATGGGCATATGAAGTGGGTTAAAGTGGCTTGAAGTAACCCATCTAGAATGAGCACATGAGAGCAGTCTATATACTAAGAGAGTGTGATATCCACGTGAGAAAGCACGTGGCAAGATGCTTGACAAGTGCTGATACCATTCCTGTTTCGTGACATAAGCCCTACAAGGCGGTTAGGCTCATCGGCCGCCCACTTAACGACGTATGGGATCTCTCGTTCATTAAATAGCTTGATTAACGCCGTAGTTGGTGAATATCCATCTAGTTTCTCTCGATTTATTCCGGCTCTAGCGTTATAGATGTTGTTGGAACAGCAAAGGCTGATAAGGAGTAATAGGCAGGTACCATGGGCTGGCTGGCACCTGCCCTGGGCGAAGTGGGACAACTGGCTTAGTCATCATGGCCGGATAAAGGTGGGGCAAACACACAGGCCGTCACTAACTACTTCGACCGACTCCTGCCTACAATGTAAGATAGAAGAACAACAAGAAGAACAAGCAATAGGATCACCAACAGACGAGTGATAATTGCTACCACTATTTGTCGTATACGACCCCGTGAACCAACAGATGTCTTGTTGAGTGAATGAGGACTCTGGGAACTACTCTTGGACGATAGCACGTACGTTACGTGCCCGAATCCTAACCCGTCGGCTTGTAGTTTTAATGGTATCCTTAACTGGCTAGGTAAGCCTGCGATGAGAAGGGTGTGTAGATGCTCCGAGGCTGGGGCTATGGTTATGTAGACTGTGCTGAGGGTCTGGATGATAACGTAATAGCCACTTGCCCTCCTCTTGGGCCTCTACAATAACCTGCCATTTACAGCCACACTTTCGAGACTTACGTTGACGAATGCCTGCACCCTTAGGAGGTCCGGGGCTCCCAAACTGATCGCATTAGAAGGAATACCTTATAAGCCGACCTCCTCGAGACATATATTTGTTATATCTCATAATCCTAAATCCATTAGCTTTAGCAAAAATATTAACTCGATCGAAGAGAGCATTCGCTGTTGGCTCTAGGTCGCCAGGAATCGGTAGGTTTAGAGTTTCGTTTAAAGGAGGAGAGGAAGATTTGTCGCTCTGGGTACGATAGGAAGCTATAGTCTAGAAAGATAATGGACTTAAAGGGGGTTTTGTCGTGGGGGTGAATAGGGTGGTAGGTTTGTCTAAGAACCCCACGTTTCTTACCATAGACGGCTTTGCTCGTATTGTTGGATAAGGGTAGTTATTAACCTTTGGTTAGTCCCAACTACTCGCATAACAAGCTCAAGAACATTATTAAACTATTCTATAGTAGGTTGGGTAGGTTGTTAAGATTCATCGTAAGAAGGAGAGGGACTTAGCTCTGGCGACATTCGGGGGAGGGTAGTACGCTGGGTAGTCTATGTCCCTCTTAGAAAACGGCGCGTAAGGTAGAGTGTAGGCCGTCGAGATTCTTCGTTAGAAGGGGAGGGGCTGCGCGCTGGTGAGAGTCGAGGGAGAGTAGTAGGTTGAAGAGAACGCGTTCTATTAGGAAAATTGCGTTTAAGGTAGAGTCTAGGCTCGATCCCTGGGTAGTATGGCTGATGGTATGAAAGAGGCCGTGTTTCTTGTATTACCCTGCCTGGAAGCTCGCTAATGAAGTCGCTTTGAGTATGAGGATCGTTAAATCTATAGAACTGGCTAATACTAGGATAGCTGCTGTCTGAAGTAGGAGATGATGGTATTTTGTTATTGTCGGAGCGTCGGCGTTTTGTAGGACGGATTTGATTATTAGAGCTATTATCTTGAGCTCGGCGACGTGGATTACGTCTGGACTTGGACGTAGAGGACATTATGCGCGTCTATTATGCCTTGAAGATAAAGCTCCTTTGAGGCAGATTCGCGTTGAAGAAACTATGAAAAGTGATGGGTACTTCAAAGAAAAGTGGCAGAATCTGCATGCACTAACAATAAAATTTTCAACCAATTAAAATCGTGAACGCGGACGCCGCTGTAAGGTGGACGCCGCTGTATCAATTCCGGACGCCGCTCTATCAATTCCCTATCTTAAATGATTAGGGTTTTTTACGTGATATAGCCAAAATGGTAAGGTGCCTTCTGCAGGGAGGCTGTGTGGGGAGGTATGTAGGTACTTCCCTGGGTATATAGTCCAACTGCCGTTCGTTCGACGACAGTCCAGGTATCTGACGGTAATTCAGGGTGGCCAGCGGAATATGCATATTGTTACAACCCAACATGCATGACCAAGAACAGGGCCTGCCCCGCAGGCTCGCGGCGGTTATAATACACCACATATGCAGGAGATAAGGGACACTAGGCACCCTCTCACGGAACGGAAGAACTATGGTACAAGTCACGTGATGATAAGATAAGACATGAGCGACCATGGTGGGACCATGAGCGCTCATGCCGAACAATGAGCGCTCACCCGATCAGAGGAACTGATCATTGACAAGGGATATGTTCAGGACCAGGACTTGTATATAGGATGGACTCGAGCCGGACTCTAGGACAGACTTTCCATAGCTCTTCAGCAATTAACTTCGTATCAGGATTAACATCCGCTTTCAGCTACTACCTTGACAAGACTACGATTGATCACCGAAGCCTTACCTACCCTTACGATTGACAGACATAGTTTCCTTGAAACTATTCCACGACTACGATTACTGTTACCAGTTCCGCAGCCTCAACTTCTGCAAACTACCCCTACGACTAGCTGGCCGTAACACATATATGAGTGAGCAGAAAAGAGAGTCTATTCGTACTAAAGAGTGGATGGAATCACCACAGGCTTGTGGGCCTAATGCTATCCTAATAAGTCTTGCAGAGCTAGGACCAGGTGGAAATGACAGTCTGGCCTGTTTCGTGATGGTCAGACCATTCCGAATGGGTTATGTCCATGACTCGCGTAGAAGCATGCATGGATTCTGTCAGTATTTAGTAGGCACTCTCGATCTTGATCCCTTTCCAGATACTCCCTCAATCTCTAACCCGTCCAACCCATCTCAAACAACATGTCGTCCTGCACAGTCTGTAAAAAGGGACCTCCCCAGGTCACCCTAAAAAACTGCGCAAAGTGCTCCACAACACCATACTGCTCCCGCGACTGCCAAAAAGCCGACTGGAAGTCCCACAAAAAGACGTGCGGCCTCACCGACGCCTCCGCACAACCCCGCGCCGGCAACACCACATCCACCGGCACCGCGCTATCCCCGCCAAAGGGCCTAGACCAACCCATCACCCGGCCCTTTACAAAGCTAGACAACGGCACCTGGCTCCACGACCGGCCCGAGGCGGACGTCTACCGCTTGCTTATTGACGCCTACCGCCTGCACGTCGAGGACGAGTATAATATCGACGGGGAGGCGGCCGAGGACAGCATCTACGGCGGCGCGGAGGACGGACTGGAAGGGTTCCGAGGGTTTGTGAAGAAAGCTGCGAAGCGGAAGGGGTTGTTGCCCGCTTGGTGGAGTTCCGAGAAGCAGGCGGCGTGCGAGCGCTTGGGCGGGGCGGAGGGGGATGATGATGATGATTATTATGACTTGGGGTCCGCTGTCGAGAAGGCTGATATCATTGAGCGTTATGGCGACCCGCGGTTCCCGATGCAGCTGCGCATGTTTGCCGAGGCGGTGAATTTGAGGGGTCCGGGAGGGCAGGATGGTACGCCGATGAGGAAGATGATGGCTTCGATGGAGGGCGGGGCGTATGGGTCTGCGGCGATGGGGTCGACTATTGATACTACTACGATGAACAGGTCGGATTTCAGGTCGTGAGGATGGGAGGTGTTATTAAAAGGTGAAGTTGTCATTGGGGACGTCGGAACGGTGGGAGAAAGTCAGGAGAGTATGGGCGGGTATGGATGAAGCAGTAAGGAGACGCGGTTGTTAGTTGCCGCCTTACTGGGATGATCAGAGGTTCAGCACGGAAGGCTTTTTTATTTGTTTAGTTTCTCTGCCCTATTGCTCACAAGGCCGTGGGGCAGATAAAATAAATAAATAAAAAGGCCTTTCGTAATATACCTCTGATTGTTCTAGCAAGGTGGTAATAAAAGCTTTTTTATTCCAAGAGAAAAAACATCAATTTCAGTATTCAAACAAGTGAGACCCCAGTTACGATGGTCATTTCTTATCTTGCATTGTGGCTAAGTAGTACTGATATCTCTAAAGTGACCAGCTCCGTTGACGAACCTCGTAACGAAGAGTGTTGTCAGAGATCTCTGTCTCTATAGCGTCAGCAATGGGAAACGCGCCGTACCTTTGGCCTTCGCCGGTGGTGGGTGCAGAGTTTCGAACCCCTTGCCGCCCATACAATTACTTCCCTCTCACTTACATGTCCATCTATCTGGCTTGTCCCTTCACCATCCTTTAGAAGAAATTCCATTTCACCAAGTATAGGGCAACTTCAGCCATCGTCCCGGTGATATCGCACCTTAATCATTCCCGTCCCCTTCAATTTTTCTCACCATTTCATTTTCAACCCATCCGATCTCGCCAGGGTGGCTTTGCCGGAAATATGTAGCCTGACCCAAGGAATCCAAAAGGCAACCTTCCAGTTCTCGACGATCCCCATTTCGATAAGCTTATCCTCGGACTCATAAGGTCTTTCAAATTGCGGCTCCAATGCATCCTTTCCCATTCCGAAACCATGGCCAACTTGTGAAATTCCAGGTCCCCATGTAAGAGTTTGACCCGTCTACTCGGCGATCTGTCGAGGTATCGGATACGGATTCTCACAGCCATCGTATAAGGATCTCTGCAACGCGTCCTCAATCCAAACAGCCCGCCCAGCCAACGGAACACAGAGAAAATGTCGGATGATCAAACGAGGTCTCGCGGTAGTTATTCGCTCCCGCCAGCTCAACGTATCGCAAATCGCAAAGAGCAGCTCCCTGTAGTCGCCATGGCCTTTAACAAACGATACAAAGCTCAGTTCCACGGAGCGCAGGTTTTGCGGGAGTGCAGCGAGCAAGTCGATGGCAGATGAAGACCCCGTGAAGGGTAGGCCGGACTGAAAGATTGCCACAGGAGGCGAAATGCACATGCGAGATCTGTACCAGATGTTGCGGTGTCTACCTGTTCGTTGATGACCATGAGCCTTGCACTTCGGGGATTTTCTGTCTGTTAAGTACTCAGGCAGTTCATTCAGAGTCCCATGTGTTAATGTTTGTTGGAACTTGGACGGTCAACCTGCAGGATCCTGGTTAACTTGCGCTAGCAACGTTATCGTATCTGTAGGTATTCGTACTTGCTTTGTTTGCACTGCGGCTTCATGGGGTGATTGCCCTGGGCTAATGCGGCGGAGTCGGGTATGGAGTACGTCCAGGGAAATAGGAAGTCAGGGTCCAATTAAGTTAGTAGGTTCGAATACCTGACTGTACCTCAGGCCTCGACAAATCAACTTACACCTTTCTTGCCCCCCTCAGAGAATCTTCCATTTGCCAATCAAGAAATTGTGTACCTACCTAGCAGTCAAGTTGTCGTTGGCTCTTGGTTGAATTTGCGGTTTTAAACATGCCATTTTAAGAAGCCACGGGCAAGCCCGCCTCACATGATCTTTTCATTGTGAGTCCAAGGTACGTTTAGATATAGAACAGAACACCGCAAACGACCACAAACCAAGGTAATAATGATGCGCGAGCTCAAGTTTGCCAACCCACTCGTGATGCTGCCTTGGGAAGTTGTGTATTGGTTCTAAGAACCGGAAACACCCCCGGCCGGCCCCGCTTCCGCCCCTTGCGGCGGTCCATCCACTCACCGGACGTCAGACCTGAGGATGAGTAGACCTCTTCGTACCTAAATTCGGTGAGATGAACTCCTGCATCGGTTCGTAGGAAACTGATGCCATGTCTCTACCAGCGCTGCCTGTTAGTCAATCCAAAAGCAGCTTTTTGACAATATCACAAGGTTCTGGCCAGCCTGCTGGTGCTGAAATCTTCTATTCAGCCCGGCCGGACCTTCCGCGGATACTTCTTTAGCAGGTGTGACGTCTCACACTCGGAGACTCTGCATGCCCTTGCCCTGGACGATTTTATATGAGGGTCATGGGTCCCTGTGGTACTATGGGTCTTGGAGAAGCACCCTTCACCTCTTGACGCACTTGTTTGTCACGTTTGGCTATATCACTGACGCTTTTTTACTAACTCAAATGGACGGTATTGACACTGAATTGTACAAGTCTATCGGCAACGTCGAAGCCGAGAATCTAAACCTCAAGATCGTCATCGCGCTGGGAGGTTGGACATTCAGCATCCCCGGCCCGTGGCAGAAGGTCTTCCCTTTCATGGCATCGAACAAGGAAACTCGCTGTCTCGTCGAGAAGCCGACTTGGTCCTTATCTGAGTACGGCTACAATGGAGTTGACAAGTCTAGCTATTTGGTGCAATAGTTAGCCTTCAACCCACGAACGAGTACCTAGATTTCGGTGGACACCTTTTTATATTGCGAGATGGAATGGAGGTCCGATGTAAAGAATCTAACTGTGCAACCAGATGACGGGACAATGCTCAAAAATTCATAGACAGGGAGTATACTGGTGCCGACGATCAAGGTGGTTTCAAAGGCGATAGCGAGAACTATACCGCGCTTCTTACAGACTGGAGCTTCTCGCAGCCATCAAGCGAGCGGTAAAGACTACATCTTGGCATTCACGGCCCCATTTGCATACTGTTCCCTCCGACACTTTGACTTGACAGGGATGGAAGCCCAGGTCAGTTGAACCAGCCTGATCTCTTACGATCCCTATGGCGTTTGGGACAGTAGCAACGCCATAGAAAACCAGATACTACCACACACGAACTTGGTCGAACTTGGCGACGCTTTCGATCTGGTAAGATCCAGTTACAGTCTTGTCAATATGGGAGTTGAACTTGATGCGGGTGAGGTAGATCCGAACAAGACAGACTTTGGCTTCATGCTCATAAAGGGCGATTATGTTGCTGAAGCTTCATTGAAGAGATGGAAAGACAACTCCCTCGTGTTGCTCATCTGTCCAGAAAAGCTGAATGAAGCTAAGAAACCATTGAGTGAGTTGCAGCCTTCCAAGGCTAATTCCCTGTTCAGATCAAGGTAAACCCGTTGGTTTTCCAAGCAAGGACATCGCATCTGACGTCTTCACTCTGACTTTCGATTTCGACCTCACACTTGCTCGAAGAGACACCACCAACAACAGTGTCAGAGTTGACTGTTACACTATTCGAGGATACTGAAAGGCCGCTGTGAAATCTCTAGGAATCGAAGATAGCATTTCTCAGAGTTTTCATGTTCCAGCGGCGTCGCAATGGCGGGACGTGTTCAACAACAAAGTGGGAACGGACGTGTACGTAGATGCGTTTGAGAACAAGGAAAAAGCTGCAGTGAGTCCCGATTCTGGGGCTCAGTCGATGGTCCTCCTGTGGATGGGAAGGAATGCGACCAAGTACTAGCAGTTCATGTGCAAGGCACCATTGACGCACAATCATACTACGGATTCTCTATGGTTGTGAGTTCTGGTCTGGCAAGCACGATGCAAAATCCGGCGGGCCCTAGCCGTTTCAACAAACAGAACTAGGGGGTGAATCACGCGATGTGAGCCAGGCCAGCGGGTTCCTTTATGTTATTGGTTTGACAGACCCAACACTCACTGTTGGTGGTGTCCGAGAAGTAGACCTGGACAAGACCAACAAAGGCAATCCAGCCTCGACCAGCGAAAAAACGGTAAAACACCGAGAGACGTTAGTGGACGCGGGTGACGGTGGCACCGACATTGATCTATCTCTGTACTACAAGATCAACTACTCATTTGGCCCTTTCAACGATATGGACGGGGAGAGTCGCGACCCCCAGCGGCGCCTACTTCGATGGAAAAGCCCAATACGCGTGTCATCACTGATTTGGGAGACTTCAACGCCTAGTTTCCCTGCGACCAAAGATGATTAAGTACCAGCCAATGAGCACATCCAGTTGAGAGTAAAATGCTCATCCCGAATGACAACGTTCTGTACGTGACTGCCGGTCTCGGCGGGCGGATAAGCATGGGTGGCGTTTATGAAGTTTGCTACAAAAATCAAGTTCTGGTTCTTATAATATGGTCCTGGCATGATTTTCGGAATGGGGCTTCCAGAGACGAGTCCAAACATCTCCCAAGCAGTCAAAAGACTGACTGACTGACATTAGCATCTCCAAAATTGCTGTGAACTACGGCACGATGACAGAGTTCATCTTCATTCACGGAGGGGGTACAACATCATGTGCGGACCATGAGAATCTCATTCTGGGAAGTCCCCTTCGACAAAGTCCATGAGATCCACGTTCTCGACTTGCATTTGCAAACAACAGGCACCTGAGGCTGTTGGTTATCGGAGAAGGTTAAGCTGGATACATACAACTTACTTGGCACATTGGTGTCCGCCAATAAGTATAGTCATTAAATAGCATATCTAGCCGCTGCGCACCTATCAGCCATTGGAACTATTGCGAAGCTGTTTTCTAATTCATGGTTCAGATTCCTTTCGACACACACATGAGAGAGACTTTCAACAACCAAAAGACTACTTCCTTCAGTGTCAAGGACGACGAGATACGCTCAGATTGTACGTCTACGATCTATCATACAGACAACTGGATGTCGCCCACTGATCCAAGGCATGAAGATCTGGCAGCTAGTATCGCTGAGGTGTTCTTATTTGTTCTTCCGTCGATCGAAAGGAACTCATTAGTGGCTGCAGTCATGCCGAATTTCATCAAATAACAAATTATACTGATCATGACTCAACCCGGGCAGTTGAGTTACCAACGCC